TATAGAGAGCCTGAAATGGCTTGATGCTAACACTAGTACATATCTGGAAGGTAGTGCAGCATGGTGAACAGTGAGACAAGAATATCCTAACCTACGACCGAATGGTAGATACCCTGTGGCATGAGACAATCGATTGGTTCCAGCTTGCATCCAAATTAGTGGTTTATTTCGTTGATCAATCCTGCGAGAAGCGCGTCATTCGTTAGCATACGGTTAACCATTGCTCACACTTTTCCATTTTATCCTTGTCTTCATCCTAGAAGGCTCGATCATAGATAAAGCGTGTACCAAGCATTTGGTCGGCGTTCATTGGTGAAAACCCCTCGTTATTCTTTGGCGGCAAGATGTCATCTTCTCGTTCCATTCTATTTTACCCCACACTTTCCCTCTAGTGTCTACACGTTTACTCTCATGCACACGTTGTATACATTGCAGCCGATCCGAAATTGTCTCACGAAAATCCCGAATACCGAAGCCTAAATAGCTGTTTACTGTTTACTGTCAACTTTGTATTTGGACTTCGACGATGCTTAATAACCGTCGAGTTGAATTTGAAAATTGAAACTATTTCAATGCTGTATTTGCAAATTTGCATTCGGACATTCAAAGTATATATGATTGTCGAATGTGAATTGTGATATCTGTGTTTGGTTTTCGGCTTTTGATTCCTAGCAGTGAGATATTGAGCGCCTCGTGAATTTCGATAAACTTGTTCGTGTAAAATGCTCTTGAGATGGAATTCCGGATCGTATAGTTGTGGAAAGACTGTCTCACTTCTGGGATATGTCTGTATGGATCAATAAATTCGACTTCACTACCAATACCTTTAGCCCATTTACTATGTCTCTTCCCAACTGAGCCATAGTGATGATCTGATAGCCACAGTCATCACCACCTCCTCCGTAATGTCTGTGACCAGTCTTTGAGTTCTATGTGTATTTGAGTCTTTCACAATGAGGTTAATGCACGCATAGAAAGAACCCAATATGGAAGTCTTGCCTGACCATGACCAGGTGAATATTCTTAGTGGCAATCGTGCTTTTGGCTGGATTGGTCGACCGTCGTGTTCATGGTTTGATTGGAGTAATCTCGAAAAGAGCAAGACGGGGGTGGTACATTTCTCTTTACACCACTTGAGACGTGAGAATATAATTTTCTTCCGAGAGGACCTTTACCTAATGATTAGGAAATTTCTATAGCAATATCCATCCACTTGGAGGTAGGCGAGAGAAAAAATGTGCATGGCTTTTGAGACCTAAAATGAAGGTTGTGTTTGCATGCAGCCAGCGATACACATTAAATTATTCAGAAATAGATATAAAAGTAGCGACTGAGCCTCCAACAGCCCAAACGGAAAATTCAAATTTACGACAGATAGCAAAGGTTGATATGCCTTTATGGGTCCCACTCTTTGAACCTTCAACTTGTATAGCTTTATCAAACTCCCAGCCACCGAACCCAACAGTCGAATTTGTATTTACTATTGGTGCCCGTAACCACCAAAATGGTTAGGAATATACATAACCTTCCTCTAGCAAATCCACTTGGATGAGGTTTAAACAAGTAGAAGAGTGGAGAGCCTCGGGTCGCGGATATAGACCATTGAGTTGTAATCATATATAAATCCACACCGAGGACCTCGGCGTAGACATGCAACAAAACGTTTCAAATACTTTAAATCCAGTAATAGTAAAGCCACGTCGAAAGACAAGGGAGTGAGAGATGCAACAGGAAATAAAAAGCAGTAGAGAGCTTTGTCGTGATGAACATGCCAACAAATGTTGATGTGCTGCGTGCTAAGCCCTGAGTAGGAACAAGGGTTTGATTGCCCCCAAAATCATCTGCGTCGCCAACACCAACTGCTATAATAGAAAGGCTAGACCGAGGGAGTTAAGAGTCAGGTCGTATTGATGATGTTGATGGAAATTGTTGGATCCAGTCTTTGAATTGCTGCAAAAAAGGAGAAAGAGATTTCCGTACAGCCGCCAGCTTCACAACGACTGTAAGGACCCACGTTCATTATTCTGGAAGCGTTGTGTTTCGTATGCGCCGACATATTTTGGATGTTGTCTACCTTTTTGCAGGAAAGACCACATTGCGATCCAAGACTTGATGAGCTGATGATCTGCGTTACTAATTCTGGAAGCATTGAATGAGTTGACAAATTGATGTGATTGACGGCGGTTCATGACTGTGATGACGAAGAGAACCTACTAGGACCGGCCCAGTCTTTGCTCAAGAAAGTTGTCTGACAGCTCGAGACAGCTCGAGACAGCTAGACCCGGAACACTAATCAAAATTGTTTTACTTCAGCCTGAACAATTTCCCCGCAAGTAAAAAGAATAAACATCCAATTATATCTTCGCTTTTGGTCCAGGTATTTGGTGAATCGCTGCACCATGCACGTCGTAAGTAAGTCTCGAGGATGATGGATGATGGATGAGGATGAGAATGAGAATGAGGGATGAGATACACGAGGTACACGAGATACACGAGATACAGTCGTAGCCGCAGTCATCTTCATCAAAGTCATACTCATACGGAGTCATACCCATACCCATTCTCATTCTCATTCTCATTCCCATTCCCACTCTCATTCTACCATGCAGTTGCTCGGTTCCATGAAGGAATGTTGTTGACAAGGGACCTGAGCGGTAATACCCAAGAAAAACCATATTTTTGGCTTGTCGCACACATCACATAAACCTCACCTCCTATTTTTGTTCTATTCTAGAAGAAATAGAAGTCAAGTCAAGACAAGACAAGACATGAGTCAGATTTGTTTCTTCTTCTCCCACAACTCAATTGCTTCTACGATTGTCTCAATTCCTCTTTACTACACGAATATCCGATTAACTTTGGGAAAAGTCAATTGAAACTTATTCAGAAACAAACAATAGGAGAACGTTTTCAAATTCACTATCTGCCGCATGCAGTACAAATATTATGATAAAGATCATGTAGGATCGGGATTTGGTACAACACGATCTAATAATTTCTGAGCGGACACATCAACAAAATACACAAGCCATGAGTACAAACGTTACTGAGGTTTTCAGAAATCATGTAACAATGGACGACATCGCAATTAATCCTCAAACCGCGCAAATTTCGAGTTCAAGGAGACTTTCGATGGAGGAATATTACAAACAAAATAATGAATCTTCCGATCACATACAAGAACCAGAAGTTGAGGAGGAACCAGAGGAGGAACCAGGGGAAGAATCGGAACGTGAGCCAGAAATTGATGTTGAGGATAAATCCACACATTCGCAGTCGTTAGTAGATCCTCTACTTGATTCTCCTCCTTCTTACGATGCTTCCGTTCGATCCCAAAATATGCGAAATCGTTTAAATATTCAACCTCGAGAAGATGAAGGAAGGGAAATTCTCCCAGGATATTCTACTGGTATCAGTTTGGAGAATGTGTTTATGAGGAAAATGGAAATGCAGGGCGCGATACACAGAGCTTCGGACAGGAATTGGTATCGAGTATATGCAACATTACAAGGAACACTTTTGACTTTTCACAAGGTCAAAGGCTCGGGGGTATTTGGTTTGGAGCTTGGGGATCGAAAGAGTACACCAGATTTACCTGTTGGCACAAAACGTGGAATTTTATTGGGAAGCTACAATTTACAACATGCAGAAGTTGGCATAGCTGCAGATTACGTAAAGTAGGTTTACACACATCAGATATTAAAGGGCAATACTAATAATTATTAGGAAGCACTATGTTATTCGAGTCAGAGCAGAAGCAGACCAATTCCTTCTATCTTGTGTGAAAATCGAAACATTCGTTACCTGGCTTCAATCACTTTTCACAGCCATCAACCTCTCTCTTCCCCTCGACGAACGACAAATACCCCGAGATCAATCCATTCCACGATCACGGAGACGAAGAAGAAGGGAAGCCAGAGAGGTACAGGTCAACGACGAACTTATTCGAGCACAAGAAGAACTCATCCGAACACATTATCCCAATTTCGCAAGTTCAAACACCCCCGAAGGTAGAGCCATTACCACTCCCTCTCGATCATCCACAGCTCGACCCTCCACCCAATCATCTGCTCCTCATACATCGCGCGTCCCCGACGAATGCATTAACGAATCCGAAGCCGCGCTGGAAGCTCTTCGAGAAATGGGTCTTATAAGCAGCCGATCCCGTCGTCATCGCATACTTCGACGCACACCGAACCCCACCCCTTCCCACTCTTTCTGCCCCGAAACGGGAAAATGGCGTCCGGAACATGCGTGGTCTCCTAGATACGATATGATATATGCCAAAAAATGCATGGCGATTCTCACAAGTCGCTCGCCTCGAAAATCAAATTACTTAATTATGAAAGGAAAACAATGGATTGTGGATTGGAGTACCGGCTCATTAACCAGATGCGAACCTCCGGAATATGGAGAGGAGTATTGTGGGAGCTGGAAAATAAGTCATAATGGCACGCCGGTGAAGGCCTAAATTCTAGACTTGGGATGGAGTTTTTTATACTTTTCTTTTGTTAGGTTGGGTGTAATGGGGGTGTTTATGCTGGGTGGGGAAAATTGGCGTCTCAAATATACAGATCTTTTTGGTTTTGGACGAACCGTTTGAAGATATTCTAGATACCAGGACGGGAACATGGGATATGAATCGAGGTGTTTTTGGAGCCTAGCCATTTTCTTGACTCGTTTGTATTGTTATATAGTGCGCGATCCATCATTGATTGCATGCATAGTCTTTCAGTATAGTATAAGTAAACACTTTATACTTGATCATTTCAATGTCCTGGACTTGGTGAAGATGATCTTCAGAGTAACTCCCGTGTACACCAAATCCCTTTTTCAATACCGCCAAGCGCCACGAGATGAAATCCAATAAACGCCAATAAATCTACAACTCCCGTTGCCTTCCTTAATTACACCCAAATCCCTTCTTCCACCAAAGAACTCCCATTATCACTCTACCCCTTCATCCCATAAACCCAACTCCCACAGCCACCAAATCTAACCTACGCATCCCTCAACACATTTTCCGCTTCCAGAGCCTCCTTCCCCAGTCCATCCACCTCCCGATCTATAACCTCATTCGCGCGATCCAAATCTTCCACGACAATTTCAACCCCTCTCACTAATTTCTCAATCTCCTCTCTCTGTTTCTGGATCTCGTCTGCGAGACTCGCATTTTGCGATTGTGTCGTTTGGAGTTTGGCGTTGAGTTGCGATTGTTGGGTTGTGTAGAGAGGGGTGAGATGGGCGGCGAGGATGGAGGGCGCGGGGAGGGTGTGGGGGCTAGGATGAGGGGGGAGGTTAGTTGTTTGTTCAAAGGTAAATTCAAAGTGAGAGTGATGATAGAGAGAGTTAGACAATAAAATAGAAAACAAAAGAAAGGAAGAAAGATAGATAGATAGGAAGAAAAACTACTCACGCAACCCCCAGATCCCTCCCCTCAGTCTCCGCATCCACCCCCCTCGCCTTCCTCCGTCTCGCACTCTCGATCACCCCTCGAGTCCATTCAATCGTTCCACCACTCTGCGTTCCTGTAATATCGTCTCAAATTCATCGAGTGCGAATTGGCGTAATCGGGAAACCATCTGGCCGTGTACGGCTTTGAGCGCTTCCGGCGCATTGCGCGAGATGGAGGGGAAACAGGAGGAGAAGGCGGGGTAGGATATGGTGTGCAAGGCGGAGGCGAGAGATTTTTCGTAGACGGTGCAGAGGGCGTTGGCGCGGGGGCCGGGGGTGAGGGGGATGGGGGCTTGGGGGGAGGGGAGGGTGAGGGCGAGGTGCTGGGCATGGTTGGGATTTGTGAGGAGAGATTCTTTGGTTGATGGTGGTAGCAAAGTTTGAGTCGGGAGGTATGGATGAGGGTGGATTATATAGTTGTAATTGTGGTTGTGGTTGCGACGGTGAGGATTGTGTGGATAGATGAATGAGCGATTGTTTACATTACATTTTTTTGCGATTTGGTTGTCGCGACGAATTGATAGTGGAATGACGCGTTTTCGCTAGTTTTAGCGTGTGTTTTTAGCGTTGGTTCCCCTGGACATCCACTAGGTTTCAGGCGACTTTCTGTTTGATGAACTCCCTACCAGGCATTTTCACTGTTTTCACTGTTTTCCCTGTTTTCACTGTCTTCTCTATGATTTGAGGAATGGTGAGCTGATATTCTAAAGTTAGATTCGTTTTGGCATTCGATCGTGTCAAGAATCATTTATTTCAGATATATTTTATCACTGATCAATTGGTTTGTGTGAACAACACACCTGATCGTTCATCGACTTTATGAGATCTTGATGACTTGAACTGGAAGAACACAGAGCACCTAACTACATCTAGGAAAATCTGTACATCAAAAGTCTGGATGACAGGAATCTAAATGACCAAGTTGCGTCTGGATATCAAAATTGACCTCGAGCTGATTTCAGAACGATGCCAATCCATGGTATTTCTGTGGTATTCGTACCGGTGCCATAAAGTCTCATGCTTATCTGGCAGCAGTTTGCGGGACTACATGTTATTCATTGAGTTGGATATTGTCAATCAATTGCCGATGGAATTCATAAACCAGAGCATACGTTTTCTCCTACAAGTGTAAGAATGTGCCAATAGTGCCAATTATTGCCCACAGCCAATTTTAAATCAAGTTCGGGTGTAGTCGAGCATTGTTTCTTTCCAGGTAAAGATTATACTTTGGATTATTTTCCCTTGATTTCCGTAAATTTATCCATGCTGGCGCAATAACACCCTTCCTGGGTGGCACTATATATTTCGGCGAATTGGAACCCGTGTCTTCAGATTGCGGCAGACAAAGACTCGGTTTAGAACAATATACCATTTAAGAGCTATGGAATCAGCCTGGTTTAAAATGGCTATCTTCCTCTTTGAAAATGTCATTTCTTGCCTTTTTGCTCTGTGCTTCAAGATCCCGAAACTTTTCATCTCTTTTCTCTAGCATTTTTCTAGTTCTTCTTTGCCAGAGGAGCCACATGCCCAACAAGGTCACAGTGGTTGGAATCGTAGCTGCCCAGTAAATGTAAAACTTTTTCGAGACTATTCCCGCATAAACACCGTGTTGAAAATTGAAGAATGTGGTACTGAAAATTGCCTATACTCCAATTAGTCCTCTAAACAGATGAATGTTTGTGTTTGTGTAATATTACTGCAAAAAATGTACCAGGTAGAAACAAAATGCCTAGTAATGACATAGTGGTCTGCTTCCTTGTTTCTAGCATTACTTCTAGATCTCTCTGTGTTTTCTCCATTTCTCTTCTCTCTTCTTGTTTTGTTTCCTCTAGGCGTGCCGTTTTTCGACTCAGCAACTTGCTAAATTGTCGCTGTTTCTCTTGCTTGTAGATATCCAGCGAGACCAAATTTTCTAACACCTCCCCAATCAACTTCAATCTCGAGATTGTAACTTCACGGTGGGTGCTTATTCCCTGGAGCTTAGACTGAAGTAGTTCAAGCCTTCCTTCTATCATTGTTTGAATCTTTCTCAATCTTTCCTTCCTTTCATTCGGCCACAGAATTTTGAACTCGGATGCTGTTTTCTCCATTTTTTGGACAATAGTGATGTACCCTTCCGGCCGCTTCCACAAAACATTTTTATGGCAATCTACCAAGTCACTGTTGATTTGTGAAAGATTGACTTTATCTCGCTTGGTAAAATCTGGATGTGCATATCTGTGAGATGCATCTACCACTTGTTTTTCCAAGATTCGAACTCGTTCTCGATTGTCTCGGTGACGTTTGTCTTCTCCAAAATCAATGTCACAAGAAAAGACCAGAGCAGGCAGGAATAAGGGATGGTCGATTTCACCAATGCATTGACGAAGACATGTGATACATCGAGTAACATCGGCTCGAGGAGTACCCTTGAAAAAGGCATTCGTGATACCAGTCTTGAGAGAGTGTGAAAGGACCAACTCCCAGTTCCGAGCGTTAGATGCTTTTTTGACGTCGCTTTTACGGTATATTATCTCTGCCAAAGATCAGTATTATTGTATATCTATCTTCCCAAAGCGACTCACGAAGATAATGATCATTACCGATTTGCTCACATCCGGACCAGTAAAATGGGCCTACTGCACTTAGAGTCTCAATCCATGAGTGAGGAAGATACATTGTGTCCACAATCTTTTGATGAAAGCCATTTGGTAAGGATAAAAACTTGGGCTCGAATGTATTAGGGTGGATTGCATTTCCTTGCAGGCTGATATCATTAGTGAAAAGTAGTTTCATCATACTAGAGCGCCCAATCGAATCCAGATTTGAGATGGTATTTCTAAAGCCAAAAAGATACTATTGAGCTAAGCACACTCGTGCTGATTGACTAAACAGCCGAGTTGGCTGACGTGATAAATTGGTCGAATGGACTGCAGGAAATTCACGCCACCCTGCTATGATGTAGTAATATCAGAGGCTCGCAATCATCGCTTCGTCGTTGATATCTCCTAGGATACCTGAAACGAAATGCTTCATGGCACTGAAGCTTCTTACATGAGTCTGATTCCTCCGATGCACCCTTGATTCTTGTTTTTGAACCTGCCCTAGAATCTGTAAGCTTGATTCTAACCTGACTTCAACAACAGATTATCAATATATCGACGCTGTTTGAGCAATCGAATATTTATTTTCTCGTTGCTCGAAAATCAGATCTCACCTTTTGATTCAAAAAGTCATCAAATTCTTCTACCTCAAGAATGGTCTCTTCGGTCACTGTAGTTCGGTATTCCGGATCCTTTTATACCAATCAGATCATTAATGTCCCGATACAAAACAGTGAAAATTCACAGTGTTCATCAGATCAGGTGACTTACAGCATAAAGAAAAGTTTCGAAACATGTCGTTTTCTCTTGCACTACAGTGCAGTCTTGCAAATGTTGGTCGAATAAAAATTTATCCATGATAATCTAAATGATTTAAAATGGCTAAATATTGGTTGCGGCGCGGCAAGCAGGACCATCATTAATACACAATTCTTGAGGCTGAAAACCATTTCTTGCTCGGATTTGTTACTCAATGAGGTCACCGATAGGATGCATAGTTCATGCGAGTGTCCATATGGGTAAGGCTAAAGCGCCACTTTGAGCCAATGAATACGGCTTACTTAACAGCGGATTAATGACTATCCGAATGAATAGTTTGTGCCATTCACCTATTGGCTACAACAGAACTTACATACTAACAACAGCTGCCCCATTTGGGCAACAAGCAATCAATTGGTTACACACCATCATGATATGTGGCTTGTCATGGTCGAATAATTTCTCTCTACTGCATAACTCTATTCTGCGCATATTGCTTGTTCACGGGTGCAACTGAGCACCCTATTATGTTCATGGCATAATGATTGTGGCGAATATGAACCAGCACGGGTTTCTTTGATCATCAACTCTTACGCATTCTTCTTGGGTAGCTACACAAGCTAAAGATCTTTTGAAATAGAGAAGTTCGAAGTATGGCCCAAAAAAGTACAGAATGCTGGACTCCCGAAGCAATGTCAACCCTAAGTCGAAGCTTTCAGATCGTCTTGAATGCGACTGAAACCTATACATACTATATAGTCCTCAGTAAAATTAGGGTTACGTCTAAGCAATGTGACTCAATATGCGAGTGTGTAAACTTGTAGCTTTGTGGAAGCCTTATATTAATCAAGACAAATGTCCCGTGTCGAGATATTCTTTTTACGTATGCCTAGCATCACTCGATACACCTAGGAGTCATGCATTATGGACTAAATTGCGAGTTTTGTCCCACCATTGGGACCGAAATTGTACTTTAACATATGATAATGAGCCTATTGTTGTAAACAACTTCTCCAATTCCTTACAGTCGCTTTCTCCGGAACAGCTCATGATGTGGAACCAAGTCGAGCCTGCCAATTTCAAGGCAGTAGGTATGACATTGCGAGGCACGGTGGTGTTCAGAGATTCCACATACTATGTGCTCGCAGACCAGCGGGCTTTGGAAACAGGAATGATATTATCTACTGAATTTGAGAATTATGGTGCTCCTGGAAATCGCATGCGCGTTAATATTCTTCTTCTTTGACACTTACTTACTCAGTACATCGGGGTTGGTAAAAGTCTTGAGGAATTGAAATCAAATTATGATTGCGAGGATGAAGATGAAAAACCCTCTCATTGGTTGGGATAGAGTGAGGACTTTTGTCGTTGTTTTTTGACTCTCTGCTTTGCTAATTTTGTGAAAGGACACAAATTTCCGAACCTATCTTGAATATTTTTGAGCGATCAATTGCTTTGGCACCTCCGGTTTTATGGAGACTTGATAGGCCGATTTGGAGATGAATGATCGAAGGTGTGGCACCTGGATATCTTGATGCTGAGGCCGCCGGAAATAGTCTTGTGGTCGAATATGATCACAAAATATTCGTTCAGACATGTATATAAAGGAACTGGGGGTAGTTTTCCTCAGTAGAACAATACGCAAGACGAAATGAAAGTAGATCAAACACGGATTACTGCCTTACTTGCTGCGACACAACCACAACTCTCGGGACATGCATCATTCTGACTATCTCTTCGGACGGAACTTGCGGTGATCAACAGGATATACTTGTACGGGCTCAAATCTCTGTTCGTGTTGCAGTATTCATGGAGATTGATGAGTTGATTTTCACACCCGTGTGATTTTCCAGCTAGAATCCGTTTCAAAATGCGGATATTGATATTGATATTGATATTGATATTGATATTGATATTGATATTGATATTGATATTGATATTGATATTGATATTGATATTGATATTGATATTGATATTGATATTGATATTGATACTTCATCTAGTGGCTCTACGACGGATTACTGCAGTGCATTTTGCGATACAACACGGAAATTTGGATCTTGTAGTTAGATTATAGATGCTTTGTTGAGCATATCGGAAATACTTCGAATGTCTAATGGAATGGACAGAAAAGGATGATTTGTCCAATAAAGGTCTTCCAAACGTCTCCTGCTATTCTCGCCCTCTCTCCATTTTTATCCCAGATTTTTTCATGGTGTGCGTATAACTTTTAGCCCCAGCTCCTACGAACTTTCAATATCAACCTGGAACTCCATAACACAATGGCTGCACTGTAATGACCCCACCGATATTTGCACCAGTGCGCTTTTTGCTTCGAGTAGAAGTCCGCGACACTTCTCATAATAAGTGTATCATTGGTTTTATCCCGGCGCCACCGCCGGCATATATCAGAACTAACATGCCCCTTCCCGGCCCTCTAAAATGATGTGTTTCCCCCCGTTTGAGGTATAAAGACCCCCACCATCGTATAATTTACCGGAAGTCCTTGCCACTGGGGCAAGTAACGCCATATGATTCGTAATAACATTTGTCATGGGATCAAGTAGGCCGACGCAATCCTTTTGTTGGTAAAATATTTTCACAGCCAATATGAAAATTGCGTTGTTGCAGCCCGATGCTTGACATCCTTATCCGTCAAGTAACTGAGCCAAAACTTGCTCTCTGTAGGTGGGTTGTAATAATTTGTCAATCAACAAAAGCTGTGAATCAAGCTTTTTGGAAATCCGACGCATGCGATTCCAATGAGATTTGCCATAAGATCGCTTGTAGTACTGTAACGATCCTGCGTTGTCTACATGGTGAATAATGAGACATAGCTCGCATACAACATGATTGGATAAATGATTGGCGAGAAGCTCTAAGAAATGTAGCTTCTGATATGGTTGGGTATTCAGATGCTGAAGATATTGATTTCTCATTCGTTTTTTAATGTGCGGACTACAAATCGAAAAGGCGGCGGCTGATGAGATGGGTATTCGGTCGAGAATATCAAGCAGGATATCCATCGGCAATTCCTCTATCTTCGACAACTTCAAAGCGTTTTTGACTGTACACAAAAGGCCACTCCAACGCCATTTGTCTAATATTGTCAGATTGCGTGCGGGAGGTATACTCCGCGAAATTATGATATCGAGGCGTTCCAGCAGTGTTTTGAGAAAGGGAATAAGCAATTCAATTGCCAATATGAAGTATTGATATCGAGGAGAATGTATTAAATGACGCTGTAATTGGCAGATACAGGAAGTGTTATCATACATAGACATTGTGAATTTCTTTCGATAGATGGTATACAAATAAACGGATGTGATCTTGTATTGATTTGGGAGGAGAATTTCCAACAAAACTGGTGACGAATTGACCTTATCGCTAGAATAGTTAAGAGTTGGGACCTCTATCAACTTAAATAATCATGAGTGATTGCTTTCAGATTTACTATGACGTCTGAAGTACTTGCAGTCTTGCACTATGATATGGAGTTAGTCCATTCTCTTCCTTCAACTAAACAGACTAGTGTAGTGATTGACGCCTTGGAAAACCTCTCATACCTAGGTAATATTGAGCAATGCCGTAAAGTGAAATCAGAGGTAAAAAATTACATGATCTCTCAAAACCATACTTGGGGCAATGAGACTTCATATAAACCAACAGAAGAATGAATTGGACACTTGCAATTGGACGTGTTTCAATTGGAAAAGTAAGGTCGCTTTGTTCACGACTCGTACTTTTAGGTTCACACGCAATTCGTATATAAGCTTCTAAGCCAACGGGCGATGCACTCGCAATTCTTCCCATACTTCAATCTGATTAAGTTAAGTCGACGAGTCTGTGCGGTTCAAGACTTCAAGTGGATGGTTCAAGATCTACTAGGTATTTTGAAAATACAACATGGCAGGGCGCCAAAAAGCTTAATAATAACTGGCAAAAAGGGAAGCCGTGTAATGACTCTCATGATTGTTTGAATTTCGTGAGTGTAACATTGTTGACAGGATTGACGTTGATGCCATTAATAACCAATAAGTTCTCAATTTGATCAATACAGTTTTGCCGGAGAATCGCCGATGACTGTACTGCCAAGGTTGGGGTGCATTAGTGCGGAATGCTTCCTCACTCCTCCGCTTAATATGTTGAAAGTCACGAGAATGTGCCACCTCGCAACAAACAGATCTTAATATCGATTCAAACATTATACTGTTTGTGTTTGATGTGAATCTCGGCAAATTTGAACTTCTAGTTGATGAAACAAGCAGTCAACATGAATCGTCTTCTATCACCTATCTTCCAAGCTAGTAAATATTCCGTCCCTGCAAAGACGCCAGCCAATGCTTCAGCATTACGCCAGACCTTAGCTGGAAGTTTACATGGTAGATCCTCAATGCTGCGAACACGGTTCATCTCTAATTCGGCTCACAACGGGACTGTTCCTCCTTACACTTTCAGCAAGTCAACAGTGTTATTATGTTCTCTCGCGTCTGCAACCGCATCACTATGTTTTGGATATGGCTATATGTCATACCAAGGTAGACTTGATCAAAAAGTCTTCGGATCTCCCATAAAGTATGCAGAACCAACTGTCATGCTTCAAGTAAGTTTTGGAGGAAAGAAATTTGACTATCACGTGAACATCATTCAGCTAAGATGTAGTAAAACAGGCCATTCAAGAAATCGCCAACGAATTAGGAGATGACTCAATTAGCTATGACGAAGAAGAACTATTGAGGCATTCTTATTCGGAATGGTCAACTTCAAACTCAGAGAAAAGACCTCTTGCGGTTGTCTATCCGAAAGACACAGGTGATGTTGTCAAAATTGCAAAGATTTGTTCCAAGTATAAAGTTCCGATGAGTGAGTTCTTGTGAAAAATCCAGTGCCATCAATCAGACTGACTGGTTGGAAATAGTACCATTTGGTGCGGGCTCAAGCGTGGAGGGTCACATTTCCACTCCTTGCTCGGGATTAAGTATTGACTTTGTGAAGATGGATAAAATTGTTCAATTTCATCCAGATGAGTAGGTCTGACCGCTATCATTATGGGACTATGTTGACTCTAAGAAGTATGGATGTTGTTGTACAGCCAGCTGTGAACTGGGTGAATCTTAATGAGCAAATCAAGGACACCGGCCTTTTCCTTCCATTAGATCCTAGTCCAACGGTATGTTGTTTAGAGGGAATCATTGTACTGAGTTCTTGAATTATCCTCTAATATTTCTAGGCTCACATTGGAGGAATGGTTTCTACAAATTGCAGGTATTGTCATCTGCGCCTTCATATTTCTGGCAGTTCTCATATTTCTTAGTGGTACCAATGCAATGAGGTATGGCACCATGAAAGACTGGGTCATTAATCTCACTGTTGTTCTGGCTAATGGTACAGTAATAAAAACTCGAAGAAGGCCACGGTATGTTTTCAGCTTTTGATCTAGTCTCCGTGCAACATTCGCTCTAACCATAAGATAGTAAAACTTCCGCAGGTTACAATTTAACCTCACTCTTCGTAGGAGCAGAAGGAACTTTGGGGTTGATTACAGAAATAACTCTCAAGCTGGCTGTAGTTCCTGATACGACTAGTGTTGCGGTAGTTACATTTCCTTCTGTTGCTGATGCTGCAACAGCTGCTTCGAAAATAATTAGGACAGGAATCCCTTTAGCGGCCATGGAGGTTATGGATGAAGTTCAGATGCAGGTCATCAATAAGAATGGAGGCACTGGAGGAAGGATGTGGGAAGAGCGACCGACATTGTTTTTCAAGTAGCTTTCTCTTAAATGATTTGCCCGTTCTAATATCGTACTGATGAAAATAGGTTTTCTGGCACAGAGCAAGCAATAAAAGACCACATCCAGCGAGTGCAGACCATAGCCAAACAATGGAAAGGTGGAGAGTTTCAATTCGCACGAACAGAAGAAGACAAGACTGTTCTATGGTCCGCGAGGAAAGAAGCTCTATGGGCTATGCTAGCACAACGGCCACCAGGCACAGAAATCTGGAGTACAGATTGTGCTGTGCCTATGTCAAGGTTAGCTGAAATTATAGGTAGGTCATTATTTCTATTAAAATTCACCTATCCACTAACATTGACGACGTTGTAGATATTTCGAAAGCAGAATCAGGGAAACTCGGTTTGTTTTCCAGTGTACTCGGTCATGTAGGAGATGGGAATTTTCATCAAGCTGTTATGTATAATCCAAAAGATCCAGTCGAGACAGCTGCTGTCAAGAAGTGTGTGTATGATATGCTTGACAGAGCATTGGAGATGGAAGGAACAAGTTCTGTTCGTACCTTTGAGCCATCACATATACAGCGAAATGCTAAGTTATAATAGGGCGAGCATGGAATAGGGCTTGGTAAGAAGGTGAGTAACCAGGATTTGGGGTTTCGGACGTTCTGTGCAGCAGCAGCAGCAGCAAAACTTAAAATATCCGATAAAATTCCATTGTAGCCCCATAGCTAAAAACTGTTAGGATTGCTTGATGAAGGAACTTGGCCTCGATACAATTACTGTCATGAAGAAACTCAAGCATTCTCTTGATCCAAAGTATTTCCCCAACAGACATTCAAGTAGAGGGGAAGCTAATTCAGGACAAAATAGTTGGCTATTGAATCCAGGAAAGATATTTAATGAGCCATGAGCCATGAGCTATGAGCCCCAAATGTCGAGTTTCAATATTAGATGCTTGAACCTCTCGTCTCAAGTATTTCAAGCGACTCTCCTTCCGCCAAGCTTTGAACGTGGTGGGACATCGGTACATCAAGAAAGAGTACGAGCAACTTCGAAGACGTCAATAGGAATTTATTTGCCATATGCACTATTATTCATCGCTCGAGGTGAAGGCAACAATTTCCAATCTACTGCAGCGTTTTGTGTAATCTATTCCCCAGAATTCCTTTCTTACCTTAAACTTTCCGCGATCTATTCCTCTGCAATCATAACATGAATTCCCACTTCCCCCACTAGCCCCACATCCGTTCTCGGATCGGATACCCCGATTCCTCCTAGTTTCCATTGCAACCCCTCTTTGCCCACTTCCCGGGTGAGTTTTTGCAATGGGTATATATTAAGAAACAAAGCACTTATTTTCAGATCAATAGGACCGCTGGCGCAACGGTAGCGCGTTCGACTCCAGATCGAAAGGTTATCCGTTCAAATCGGGTGTGGTTCAATACCTCCATTGATTCAATTTTTGTTCTTTTGATTCTCATGCCTATAAATATAGCATAGCCTCTGAGTTATATTCTTTGACACTTTTGCATCACCTAGAAAATGGGTATGACACTGACAAATTTTGAGGTTCAGCGTGTGCTTTGAATTTAGGACTGATGAGCAAATTCTATTGAGCATCATTTTGGGTCTCGTTCGTGAAACTCTGATATGTGGGGTTTGATTACAATTTTGAAATCCCCAGATCTGCTGACTTTAGAAATTCTGCAATTGATGCGGTACATTTTTGACTCCGCTCCTAACAATCATGAAGCGAGAAACTCCATAAAGGGGCAGTGAGAGAATCGGGAGAAGTATTCGGTATATGCATATGTACAAAATGGTGGAAAAGACATTATCCGATAACTTCAACCGGGGATTGGTTACCCGACAGTGTCTGTGTCTGAACGCTGGCTGGGCAGAAGGGTCAAGACAAATATCGAGGACAAATTTGAATTGAATGATAGATATATATACTCTGTCCTCCCCATTTAATTCACATCTATGCATATTCTTCTTGTTGAATTATTCCCATTTTTTGTATTGAGAAGTTGATGACATTCTCGCCCCTTCATCGGATCTAGATCAATAGCCGACGCTTAACTCCCCGGCTTCAAATCAATTGCCGATTTCATCGCGTCAACGACATTTACTATTTCTTACAAAAACTTCTTTTCCACCATCAATTACACTTCATTTCCTTAATCTTTCCTCATTCTGTAAATATGTCTCTCTCCCGTCGTATTCTCACCACCACTCGCCTTCCAGGCCTCCGCATAACATCATCTATCCGTTGTCAGTGGGGTCAAAAATCACGAGATTGCCGACACTTTCAAAGCTATGTCCGACTTCTAGAAGCGCCTCGAAACCCATATAAAGACGAGGAGAACGTTAGCAAAGCACCAAAGATTGTAAGAGGCGCGAGTAAAGTATATAAAAATGCTGATGAGGCCGTTGCGGATATCAAGAGTGGATCGACGATTTTGAGTGCGGGGTTTGGATTGTGTGGAACGGCTGGTATGTTATTCTGTTTACTTTTGGCATGATTTATGATCCTTGGGTAAGGAGATTTCCATAATGTGTGATTCTGATTTGAGATATAGAAACAATTATCGAAGCATTAGAACGAAGAGGACCAGAAAGTCTTCATTCCCTAACCGCCGTTTCCAACAACGCCGGAGCATCGATACCAGGTGGTCTAGGCGCCTTGACTCAATCCGGTCAAGTAAACCGTTTAATTTTAAGTTTCATCGGTAGTAACAAGGTTCTCGAGAAGAAATATCTCGAGGGAAAAATCGCTATTGAATTATGTCCTCAGGGAACTATCGCTGAGAGATTGAGGGCTGGTGGGGCTGGTATCCCGGCCTTTTATACGCCTACCGGTGTTAGTAAGTATTTGCTTGATCTTTGAGATGAGATGAAGAATATTCATATTGATGGTTTATAGGTACATTGTTACAGACAGGTGGTATTCCTACTAGATTGGGCCCCCCAGCAGAAGGCTCGAAAGAAAATACTGTCTTAGAGAAGGGACAAGTAAGAGAAACCAGAGAATTTGACGGCAAGACTTATTCGATGGAAAAAGCTATTAAAGGAGATGTTGCTATTCTCCGAGCATGGAAGGTCGATGAAGCTGGAAATTGTCAATTCAGGTAATTCCTCTCGATTCAACGCTGAAGATATCATGATATTAACAAATTATAGATACACCACTAGAACATTTGGACCTATCATGGCCAAAGCTGCCAAAGTCGCTATTGTTGAAGCCGAAGAGATCGTACCAGTCGGATCGATTGCTCCAGCTGATGTCCATCTTCAAGGAATCTACATCGATCGTATTGTTCCAGCTACCGTTCCTAAGAAATTAGAATTGAAGAAGACTCGTGCACCAGAAGGTAAAGAAGATACTTCGAATAAGTCGGATGCAATCACCAGAAGAGATAGAATTGCCAGGAGAACTGCGAAGGAATTGAAGAATGGTTACTATGTTAACCTTGGTATTGGTAAGTTTTTATTTCGTTGTATATTTCGAGTTGGGGGTTTGCAAAATGACTGACGTGGAGTAGGTATTCCAACTCTTGCACCTTCTTTCTTGTCTCCTGAAACAAAGGTTTGGATTCAGTCTGAAAATGGTATTTTGGGAATGGGCGCATATCCAACGGAAGAAGAAGTTGATCCGTAAGTTTTCTTCTATCTGTAAAACACCGGCAGTGAATTAACATCTTCAAGCGATATCATCAACGCCGGTAAAGAAACCGTAACCCTCATTCCGGGTGCGTCAACCTTCGACAGTGCCGAATCCTTCGCTATGATCCGTGGTGGCCATATTGATGTCTCTGTTCTCGGAGCACTCCAAGTCGGTGCTAATGGTGATTTGGCCAACTACATGATTCCTGGAAAGGTGAGCTCCCTTCTATCCCCCTTTACTTCCCCATCTAAGTGTAGCAAAAACTAACAAATCAAACCCACAGATCTTCAAGGGAATGGGCGGAGCAATGGATCTCGTCTCCAACCCCGACGAAACTAAAATTGTCGTCGCAACAGAACATGTAGCAAAAGACGGAAGCGCAAAGATTGTTCAGGACTGCAGTTTACCTTTGACTGGAGCAAAGGTCGTTAGCACTATTATTACTGATTTGGTAAGTTTCCATATACATCTAAGTTCCCTCTACGCTTCATCAAACCTTGGGATTTGGGTTTGATGGAAGGATTTAAGAATGAAAATACTAACCCCCATATTTCTAGTGTGTATTCGAAGTCGACAGAATCAATGGTGGTCTCACATTAACCGAGTTGGCACCAGGTGTAGATGTTGAGGAGGTTAGACAAAAGACCGACGCTAAGTTCGAGGTTGCAAGTGATATCAAGAGTATGGAGTAAGATGTATATTGTGGATGAAAATGATTATAAGTTATGTAGAATCACGAATGTAAAATGTTAAATTTTCAATGTAATTTTACTTTGATGGATTGTGTGAGTTTACTATGTACAGTGGATTTAGGTTGAATGGTAGATGCACATGCAATGAAGCTTGGGGCTTTTCTGACATAAATCATTAAATCCGATTCAAAATCAATATCTCTACCTAAATTGAACCATGGCAACTCCGAGATTGAGATATTCATATTTGAAATCTCTACCATTTATCGTACCATCCAACCCATCATACCTCAAACATATCCTCACCCTCCCAAGTAACAAAAATCTTAGACAGCTCCGATCCATCAACCGTCCCCACTTGAAACGACTTGAACCCCTCATCCATCGACGCAAAAAGTTGTTCCCAATCATTCGGATCGCGAACTCTAGCATTCTGAATCCCTTTCATAGAAGATCATCTGCTTTAAATCTAGTTAGCCAAGTAATATATCTCTAACAACATAGAAAATCCAAACGAACCTCTGTCTCCTCAGTTGGTATGGTGTCAATATACAAGGGGCCGGAAGCACTCTATCACAAACCAATACCCTCGCTCCTTTCTTCAACGCCGGAATCAAATTTTCCAGAATCCTAGCCGCGTATTTATCAGACCAATCATGTAACACGTTACAAATAAGATATACATCTGCTCCCTTCACAGGCTGCTCTTGAAAGAAATCATGCGCCATGAAACTGAATCTTTCCTGCAAATCATCAGGTATCGTAGTATCTCTGACTACTTCGGGTTGATCCTGAACAATACCCTTGAGCTCAGGAAGAAATCTTAAAAGCTCAACCCTAACTGTTCCTTTCGCGCGACCCACATCTACTACAAGATCATTTGCAGCATCGTCTCGTGAAAAACTCCCCAAGACGCGTTGTACACTCCCACTCGGTCTGCTTTTCAAAAACGCCAACGCTTTTCCCATTTGTTGCGATCGTCTAGAATCCCTTGATATATATTGCATCATGGGAACATCCGTTCCATTTACAAGTGCATAGCCCGATTCATTAGATTCCTGTGATCCAGGCCACTTGATCATGGCATCGATGAGACGAGTAGAAGCGGGTAACATTTCTTCGCTTACGAAACCGATGAAATCGGAGACGGGAGAAATTTCGGCAAGCGCTTTGGAAGATGCGGTGTGTGCGATTATTCCTGGGGATGGCTCGTGGAATATGTAGAAGGATATTGCGTGTCGGATTAAGCTGCGTGCGTCAGATTCGGGGATGGAGCATGTTTGGGCGATTTCGGGGAAGGTGGAAGTGCGGGTTGGGGGAAAGGATTTTGCACTGCGGGAAAGGGTTAGTTGTTCTTGTGATAGAGTTATAGAAGAGAAAATAGTGAAGACGGAATGAGTCAATAGACGCGATCTGATGACGCTTAAGTTAGGATAGAATATTGTTCTTACATCCCAAATCGATGTAGTGCGGTCACACTTATCCAAGTGTTTGGCTATGAGAATAAGTCGGTCAATTTCTATTCTCCTGAAAAAAAAAAGTACTGGGAAGACATACGGGAGGAATTAAAGATTCCACAGGTCCAAGCATAAGAGCCGTCAACTCATCCGATGCTTCAAGTACAGAATTTCTAGAAGCTTGAATGTCTGGCGGCAGAGATAGTGTGAGGGGACAAAAAACATCAAAAGAAGGAGAAGGAATATTATTTGATGTAAGATATTCATCAACTTTGCTGGTATGTTCCTGGATTGTCGCGGCTCACTCTGCTATTCTGGTGGCTGGAGACACCTTGAGTGATCGTTTTACTTCTCCAAATCAATCCTATCATTTCCTTTAGAAAATAAAATCATTTAAATAATGGTACATTGCCCAATGAAGAAGAGGTTATTCCCTTAAGAGCCCAACATCACGTAATGTTGAGGTATTCACATCCATTGATATATATCCATTATCGATTCCAACTACAACAAAGGTTGATAGGTAAAACGAAGTCCATCCCAACGAGACTAATGAGTTCCTTCTGATCAAATATGAAGGATTTCTCTCATATTTTCACAACTTTATCCATATTCGAAGATTCAGAATTGGTAGCCAACTTGAATGATGAACTGAGACTGGTCTTTCTGATTATCGAAGCAGTTGAGACAGAGGATAGAAGAAGAATGGCAGATTCTTCACCGGCCAAATAGGGAAAAGAACAAATGCAACGCTCGATATTGAACCCTGGCTATCCTCTTACTCAAATAATCGATCGGAAATGACATTGAAAAGCATATCTGAGTATCGGGTCGCGAAAATTGGAGGACAATAAGTGAAAGTTGTGAAGATGCACCAGTAACTTTACTTGGTGCATGAGGTGAGCTGTGAATTGCAATAACCCTTCGATACTGTACATTCGGATATGATCTCTAAAAGAGTGGAAGAACAGATATCAGAGATATCACCACACACGGAAAGAAACTTGCAGAATATTGATACTTCAGGCAACACCTCCAGCTATAGAAATCCCAAGCGGACCAAGCGGCCGCAAACCATCCTCGTCCCCGCATCTCCATAATAATTTCCATCTCCAACTTGTGAACTTTCGTCCCCTCGAATCCTCGATTCGCATTCGCAATTCGCAATCCTTAATCCCCCTTCTTCTCCAACCGTACATATATATACAAAACCCACCATGGGCAAAAACAAACGCCTCAAATCTTCCTCCAAAAAAATCAAAGGAGGCCGCGGACCCGGAAAACCCAAACCAGCTGGAATCACCAAACCCAGCTCCAAGATCCAAAAACCCTCCTCTGGCATGCCCACGAAAAAACACAAACAAACACACCATACTGTTCCCATAATCCCATTTTCCTCTCGCGATTCTATCCTGCTAATCGGTGATGGGGATCTCTCATTTGCGCGCTCCTTAATCACCCATCACGAAGTAAAAAAGTTAACTGCTACGGTTTTCGAATCTTCACTGCAGATACTACAGGAGAAATATCCGCATGTGGGAGAGAATATAAAGGAGATTGAAGAGGGAGGGGGAAGTGTAAAATATGGGGTTGATGCGACGAAGATGCGGGCGTGGACGAATGCGAAAGGAGGGAGGGGAGATGGGGTGATGGATCGGATTATTTTTAATTTTCCGCATGTGGGTGGGAAGAGTACGGATGTGAATCGTCAGGTTAGGTATAATCAAGGTTGGTATTCCTTTTATTTTTTCTTCTTCTATTCGAGGAAAATGCGCTTCCATTTCTGTAAAATAAAATAAAAACACTAACACACCCTCCAGAACTCCTTACATCCTTCCTCGCCCGCGCAATCCCCTCTCTCTCCCCTACAAAAGGCTCCTCTATAATCATCACACTCTTCGAAGGCGAACCCTACACATTGTGGAATATACGTGATTTAGGTCGACATGCGGGACTGGAAGTGGAGCGGAGTTTTAAGTTTCAGGCGGGAGCGTATCCGGGGTATAAACATGCGCGGACAATGGGGGTTGTGAAGGGGGGAGGGGGCTGGAAAGGAGAGGAGAGAAGTAGTAGGAGTTTTGTGTTTGTGAGGAAGGGGGAGGGGGCGAAACAGGGAGTTGGGAAGAAGAAGAAGGAGGAGAGTAGTGATGATGAGAGTGAGGTGGGAGACGAAGATGAGGATATGAATGAAGATTTTGAAGCAGACGATGGGGAGTTTGAGAAGGGGATTGAAAGAGATGACGATAGTGGATCGGATGAAGATGAAGATGAGGAAGATGGCTTTAATGGTGTTAGCGGGAACGAAGACGAACCTCTAAACCAAGATTGGACCGAGACGAGATGAAGCGGCGCCACCAAACCAAGAGAAGTAATTTTTTAGACGACAAGCAAAAGATTTCAAGACGACATTGATCTTCCATACGATCGGCGAAAACATTGTTATTCATTATGCGTAGTTGGCTATTTGCCATACTATGATATCATCTATTTGTACATTTACCCTGAAACTCCCCCGATATAACGCCATCTCCGTCAGATCTTGAAACCGTCGACTTTTTTTTCGTATTTACCGAAATCTAGAGTTCAATCACATCCAGCGGGAATGATACCTGTTGTGCCATCACTTGACCATTCATAAGGATCTCTCCACCCGACTTCAGCAACCCTTCACCAAGAGTACCTTCAGGATGTAAAGCATACATTGGTGCTTCCATTGTATCTCCATCAAACAAAACCATATTTTGGATTGGTTGTTGTCGGTGACCAAGCACATTAATCACATCTTGTGCAAGTTGACCACCAAGGACCGCTGTAACAGGAGCTATTTCGCTACCAAGATTTTGAAGGAAACTTCGTAGGACTTCCGAACGTAGAGTTTCAACAGGGAGCCCTAAAGCTGTATGCTTTTTATGAGCTAGGACGGTAAAAAGTTGAAGATCTTCTTTGGTTGAAGGTAATCGACCATTTTGAAGTTGAACAAACTCCCATAATGCTCGTAGACAGGTTAAAATTGGAGTGACTGCCTTTAAACGACGTCTGCTTTTGAGATATTCAGCAGGTAATGTTGCAGCATCACTAGCCAAAAACCAAGTCGAATAAAACTCTCTCTTTGTCACGACCTCCATAGATTTTCCATTTTCCTTCTTCGTCTTGACATCAATGACACTGCGAGTTCGTGTTTCCGGTTGTAGAAGTGTAGGTCTATTACTTCGTTCTCTCTCCACCACATAATCATGTTGAATCAAATCCGAGAAAATAAAGCCATAGAATCCATGAACCCCCGCCGCATAAAAAGGTTTATGATTTAATCTCGTAGCCGTATTGATGATATTCAAACTTTCCGGGTCCAAATCCGTCGCAATCACAATATCGAAACCCCCAAAATATTGCGGTCCTTTGCTTCTAATATCATCTTTATCCACAATCACATTGACTCTGGGGTTCAATTTTCGTATTTGAGGAGCAGCGGCTTCGGCACGGTTTGTCCCAATATCAGTTTCGGAGATGAAGAATTGAGCACCTAGATCGGCGGGGGTAACAATTGAATGATCGCAGATGGTTATGGAGTGGATTCCGGCCAAGACGAGATTTTTGGCTATTTCATTGGAGAGGGCTTTCATGGTTATGAGGAGGATGTTGGCGGAACGGATTTTCTCTTGGGCTTGAACTCCCCAGAGTCGGATTTGGCGATCGTAGAGGGCGATTTCATCTTGGAGGGAATGGATTTTAGTTTTTTTTACATTTTGTTGTTTGTTGTTTGCTAGGAGGGGGAGAGAAGAGAAGACTTACCGGCGCTGATACCTGCTGAAGTCATGATGGGCACGACATTAGGATTTGGGACTTCCATTGAAGGGAGATCCATTTTGGATATTGTGGAATTGTAAGAATGGATGTCCGTTGTTGGTTGTAGAATTGGAAGGCGAGAGAAGCTGGAGATGTGAATATGTCAATTCTAGAACTTGATTTCGTAGGTGAAGGTAGTAACCTTATGGATTGATGATGATAAGTAAAGCTTAATCTTTTGCTATCTTAGCGTGTTTTTTTGAGTTGTGAGGCTGAAATTGTGCCTTGTTGTTGATTGATTCATCAAGAAGATATACTTTTTGATATTGAAGTCTGCGATAACGTGTATTGGAAGTATTGTTCAAAACACAACAAGAAGTCGAATATAGGAATCTTCACAAGTTTTGATTGATATTCACTCTGCCATCCATCTATAGCCCGGCTTACCTACTTATCCAGTTCTTTGTCCAATAATGTTCCCATCTAATCTTCTCTGGTCCTAGTTCTGTGTAATCCGAATCAACCCCACAAAGCCCCATAGGAATTTCTGCCATGATCACTCACCATCATTCACCACCAATTCTTTACCTCACTTACATATCTCACACCTCACATTTCGCATTTCACACCTCACACCTCACTTATCACTCCTTACACCTGACTACTCCTCGCACCTTTTACTCCTTACACCTCAGACCTCACTCACTTCATTACTTCAAGGGGTCAACAAACCACGTCTTCTCACTACAACACCATCACCCAATCGATCAAATATTTAAATATCCACTCACACATACCTACCTGGTACATACATACACATACATACATACATTCAGCATCAGCGATCCATAAACTTCTTATTAAAGAAACATCTTATACGAATAACATCTCTCCCCACATCCTTTATCAATCCACTCAAGAACATTCATATTCATTCTCTCTCCGCAATTATCTCTCTATCAGCTTACAAAGATTCAATTCAATCCAATCCCCTATGTCAAGGCGACTCTTTTCAATGGTACATTCATATTCTTAATATTCGCCATATGATCTATCCCACTAATTAATTTGATTAAAGTCGGGGAACTTTGATGATCCGCCGAGTCATTCATCTACGGATTCTCCCACCGAAACAGCAGAAAGATTAGTTCAAGAAATTCTAGAGCGCGGTCCTAATTCGAACAATACAATAAGTCCATCGGGTGAACTTTACAGAGCAATAGGTCGATATACCGAAGCACGAAGAGCAGAAGCCGAAGACATAAGAAATATGTCATCATCAGAACGTAGGGTCGAGAGGCAACATAGATTAGGAGGAAGACGTTCAACATTCAATCATGGATCAAGTCGGGAGGAATTTGATGAAAATGAAAGGGAAAGGGATATAAATTCACGAAGAGCCGAAGTTACAAGAAGACGAGACGCAACCAGACCTATTCCTCCTCTACTTGGTCGTCGAAGACCTCGCCTCTTACAATCCGATCGATATATGGAACCACAACGTGCTTCAGTCGAAGGCAATCTTTTAAACTCTCTATCCGAAGATGTAAGACAATTAGAAGCCGCAAGTTTGAACCTTCGAACTTTA